TTTGGAGTGTTTCCGAATTTTTGTTTCGGATCTATTTAGATGGGCTTCTTTAATTAGAATGCGATCTCTTCCGTGGTCAGGTGACACCCGTAGATGAAGGAGCTCCTGGAATGGAAACGGATCTGGTTAGTCAGATGGAGTTACCGGCAGTGACCCCGTCATGGGAGAACTATGGAGTTCGACACTGCGGTCCTGAAAATGCAAAAAGAGAACTATGGGGTCAGTTTTTTTCCCCATAGTTCTCTTTAGGGTCATGGGAGGACATATACTAACCTCCTCCTGGGACCCAAATGTCAGGTGCGTCCGCGGGCAAGCAGCACGGAGGGAACCTGCTGGCAGGAAGCAGCCTGAAAAGTCCAGGGGCAAGGTAACAAGGGGCAATCCACTGGGGTAGTCGAGTGCAATCCGAGGTCGAGGCGGGCAGCAAAGGGTCAGAGGCGAAAGTCGGTACACGGGAAGTCAGCAGAGGGTTCAGGAAACTGGCAGCAAGGCACATAGGAGGGGAGCTTCGTATGTCACACCAAGAGGTGGGTTAACTCAGCAATAAGCCAGGGCTCTGGCCAGGTTTTTATAGCCAGGGGGTGTGAGTCTGCCCCCTGGTCACCGAGGCAACCAGGTGGCTGCCCTCCCCGAGAGCCAATGGCAGGCGAGAGGCGGTATGTGTGGGCTGGGGAATCTCCCCCGGCAAGGCCCACACCTGAGGCCTAAACAGGCTCATGTGCAGTGGCCGCTGGAGCACCCGTGGTTCTGCCAGGCTGAAGGGCAGACTACGCCGTACCCTCTGAATGGGCCTGCACCCTACGCCGTACTCTCTGACCCCATGGGGAGGTGACGGCACCGGCATCCTGACACCAAAGCTCAGTATATAGCGGGCTATTGCCCGCTATATACTGAGAATGCTGCAGCCGGGACTGATCCTGACAATACTGTTGTGATCCACCCAGCTGCGTGAGTGGCAGCTGGCTCTGCCTATCAAGAGGCAGAGCCAGCTGTACCCGCACCCTCCCCTGTCCGTTCCTCCAGTCAGCGCTGGAGGATTGGAGAGGGGAGGGGGGAATCTCTGCGGGAGGTGGTGACTGACAGTCACCGCCCATTGCGTGGACATAATCAGGAAGTGAGCAGATCAGTGCATGTTTCTGCTCACTTCCCGATCCGTATACCCGACCTGTGACGGCTTCTTTGTCACAGGTCATCTCTAACTATGAGGATAAGTGGAAATCACTCACCTCATAGTTCCCCTTTAACTGTTTTTTTGGGCCATTCTAGTTCTGACAGCGTGAGCTCTCCTATGGATCCGAATTTTTGATGCATCCGAATGTTGGAATTTAACAAAATGCGTACAAATATCCAAAAAAACAAAATGTACATGTCTATATTTGAGATTAATGTGTAGATTTTGATAACTTATAAGGTAAAGACGACGGCCGCACATGCACGCAAATGTCCCTATAGAACTGGACGGAAATATGCTGTGGTGCGCATGGGCGCACAACCAGAAATACGCACAAAGATGCGCGCAGGAAGTGACACAACAGGCATTAAGGAAATGACCTATTTAGCCTGCCCTGCTCACTGTGCTGATGGTCTTACGGCTGTGTGTGTTTGTTTCCTGTGCCCGTGATTATGTTGAAGATTTTGCCTGTGACTCGGATTGTTTGGACTCGACGGACTTGTGTCTTTTTTCAACCTGACTAACTATGTAATTACACATTCTGTCAAGAGCCTTTTCACACCAATCACCTGGAGATGGAGATGGTTTCAGGGGAAAAAAAACAGGCAACTCTTTCTGATAATCAAGTTGCGTGGGAATTGCAAATCCTAAAACATTGAATTACATGCTCCTGGATCTCCAGCCGATCTAAAAACATCAGCAAACCTCTGGAGGCTGCAAAATGGCCTGTTCTAGAACAGACGCTGCTACAAATGATAGAGGCTGCAAACAGACATAGTGTCCTTATTATGGGGACTTAAAGGAGAACTATGGGGTCAGGGCTTTTCCCCATAGTTCTCCTTAGGGTAACGGGAGGACACAAACTAGCGTCCTCCCGTCACCCTAGGCTCAGTATATAGGGAGCTGCAGCTTGCGGTATACTGAGACGCCGCAGCCGGAGCGGATCCCGACATCGATGTCGAGATCCGCCCAGCTGCGTGAGTGACAGCTGGCTCTGCCAATCTAGAGGCAGAGCCAGCTGTACTCGCCCCCTCCCCTGTCCGATCCGCCAGTCAGCGCTGCGGCTTCAGCTGCGGCGTCTTAGTATACCGCGAGCTACAGCTAGCGGTATACTGGGGCGTCTCACGGTATACTGAGCCTAGGGTGATGGGAGGACGCTAGTTTGTGTCCTCCCGTTACTCTAAGGAGATCTATGGGGAAAAGCCTTAACCCCATAGTTCTCCTTTAAAACTGCTTTGTATTGCTAAATTACATAAACAACCAGCTTTAAAAATGTATATATACTTACACTGGTTCAGCTTGTCACAATGTAAGTATACGTGACTGATCCCTGGCAGGGCCACTGTAGTACCGTGTTTCCCTGAAAATAAGACACTGTCTTATATTTTTTTGGGCTCAAAAAAACGCACTAGGTCTTATTTATTAATGTTTTTTATGCACACTTCAATCCACACTTATTCATGTACAACAGTCTACACTGTACATGTATTCATGTACAAAAATATGGTGAATTTGTTAACCAATTGCTGGCCAGAATGAGAGAAGCGCACTTTCACTATTGATTCCTCACAGGCGGGGTGCATTTGGTATGACTCCGCCTGTGACAGGAGCCGGCGCTATAGAGGAGGCATCGGGTTATGCGGCTCTGCTCCCTCCGGTGCCTCCTCGCTTCCTCTAGCGCTGGCTTCGTTGGCATCGCTGATTCTCTCCTGCCTCTTCCGCAGCTCTTCAAGTTCCCCCTTATGCCACTGCCGGCCCTGGGAATGGTCACAACTAGGTCTTATTTTCGGGGTAGGTCTTATATTTTAGCACTTCCCAAAAATAGTACTAGGTCTTATTTTTGGGGTAGGTCTTATTTTCAGGGAAACAGGGTAGCTGCAGCTACTACAGTGCATTACAGTGTCTTCTGGGTCCAGGAAGAGCCACTGTGCTGAGCAACTTTCCCTTCACTGTTAAAACACAGAGGGTCACTTCAGAGGAAGTATTTTTCTATAGGAATAATAATAATTCTCTGTGTCAGGATCCAGATCTGAACCCGGGGCCTCTGCTGTAGCTGGCAGTGGTTATACAAGCTGAGACACCTTAGAACCTTGTATAGCTCCTTGCCTGATCTCCTTTGTAATCCTCAGTAAAACCTAGTGTCTGCTGAACGCTGAACTCCTTGGTCTTCCCTTGAACTTCCTATTTAAGCCCCGCCTCTGCACTTCCTGTTTGCCAGATTATTGTGCTCCTGCCAATATCTTGCTTCCTGCTCCTTTTGTAATACAATCCGTTCATACTGCTACCCGTGTACTAACCTTTGGCTTCTGATTCTCCAACTACTCTCATCGTCTTCTGCTTCATACCTGATACCTTTTGGCTACTGACCTCGGCTTGATCTCTGACTACGCTTCTGCCTGCTCCCATACTACTACCGTCTGCTTGTGTACCGAACTTGGCCTGTTTCACCACGAATTTGCCTGCTGTTTCAGCTACTGGACTTCCGAGCCTGAATCAAATTGTGACACTCTGATTGTACAAGGGTTGATGATGTCATGGCCTGCCTTCGTGCAATCAAAGAATACATGATGTCACGTACCTGGCAGGAGACTGAGTTGGCATGGTGGCTGCCTGGACACCTCTCGTCCGACACCACTGGAGGTGGTGACAGGGGATGTAAGGGCGTGAAGTGGCACAGACGCTGGTGCTGATAACTGAATGAAGACTGAGCAGGTGCTCAAGAGCGTAGAACAGGTGATCAGGTTTGCAGGATTAGGATGAACACGGAATCCTCTGGGAGCTGGAGCCAAGGAATGATGTGCTGTAGATGAACGTGGACCAGGTATAAAGATACCAGACAGTAAGGGCAGCCGGCACCAGGAAGATAGCCAGGAGCAAAGTCAGAACCAACAGTCAAGGTCATACACAAGTAAGCAGAATTTTTAGCAGTACAGGAGCAATGGTCAGGAGCGGAGTCAAGGATTGTAAGCCAGGGTCATACACGGATATGCAGAATATTGAGGTACCAGATCAGGATTCAGAAGCATAGGCAAATGGTCAGGAGCAGATATACAGGATCAGGTGCAAGGAACACAGGGACAAGCTAACGACCACTCAGCAGCTGGCTCCATGCTCGTGACTTGAGCATGCCAATACGCTATTTGCATGAGTATGCTCGTATGCGTGCACGTTTATGTGCCAATGCGTGTTTACCCGGAACTATTAGCTCGGGACTATGTGCGGATGTGCATGTGGTTTGCGGATAAGTCTCTTACAGGTGACCTCTGAATGGCCTCTGGGAGCAGCCCTTTGTGTTTTAACAGCAGAAGATAAGTTCCTCAACACAGTGCAATGCTAGGACCTTGAAGACATTGCTGTGTAGGCAGAGCTGTGTAAAGTTCAGGACTGGATGGGTAGAAATACAGATTGTTTGATAGATAAAGCAGCTCTCATACACTCTATATGTATTCACTCTGTGCCTGTATCTGTTTGCATGGAGTTCAGCTTTAAACTGACCAGACGTAAATGAGACGCAGTTATAGAGGACAGAGGGATGGAGGAACCCGGGCCCAAAAAAGGAACATTTTTGTGATATGCAAGTATTTTTTTTTCCTCTGACAGATGACAGCATAGGAACTGAAATATCTTTGCCTCACTTAACATTTTCCATTGGTTTTAAGATTTGCATGGATAGGAAACACGATTGCTGAATTTTGCATGAGAGCTGAGAGCAAGATCTGTGCGTTCCAATCCGGTATAACCAAATCATCGCACACAGCCTGATACACAACTCGGCACCCGAGAGTCTACGCACAATATCCCTCTCAGAAGGAAGATCCGATATCACACGATGGATTATTATATCCAGAACATATTCACAGCTGTGCTCTTTGCCGAGTGCTTTATGGGGATCGCTTTAAATATGTTTATTGTGGCCGTTTATTTCATGAGGTGGAAGGCTCTGAAATCTCTGGAAACCCGTGACAAGATCCTCACCAGCCTGGGGATCTCCAGGAGCCTTTTCATGGCCAACGTGCTCATTGCTTATTTGATGCGGTCATATTTCACCTGGATATTAAAAAGCATTCTCTTCAACATAGGCATTCTGTTATGTGGAATGTTACTGCATTCCACCGACCTCTGGATCACCACCGTCCTGTGTGTGTTTTACTGTGTGAAGATTGCAAACTACAGCCATGAGTTACTTACCTACATGAAGACCAGGATCTCCAGACTGGTTCCTCGGTTCATCCTGGCTTCTCTCCTCATTTCCCTCGCCTCCAGCATACCAATTATTCAATACGGCCTTGTCCTTCATACACACAACTCAACACACGGCTTTCTTGGAAATTCCACAACAAACAACGCCAATATAGGATATGCTTTCTTGGGCCAGGTTATCATCTTCCTCTTGGGATCTCTCCTTCCATTTCTCGTCTTTTGCGGGGCTGTCTACCTGTTGATTCGGTCTCTTTGAATGCACATCAAGCAGATGGGGAGTAGCAGGTCCAGCTTCCGATGCCCCAACCTAGAGGCTCACTTTGCTGTTGTGAGAAGTATGATTCTTTTCCTGGTCAGTCAAGTCATCATTTTCGGATGCATGTTTTTTATATTGGTATACATTGTGCATTTTGACAGCCCCTTGAGGTTGTGGATGTTTATTTTGAGGTGCGCCCCTCCGTTTTTTCATTCGGCACACTTGGTCTACCACAATCCTGAATTAAAGAAGACGTTTATAAAACTATGTCGGGGCCTCACAAGTTGTATTTAAGTACAACGATTGTGACAATGTACATGCTGAGAACTCTTTTTTTTTAAGCTACTTAGTCTACGGCTTAGCTACATAATTGTTCAAATGGATCTATACCCAAACTGAGTTTGTTTCCTAGTGGCTTTCTGCTCCTTCTGGCAACAACAGGTGTGCAGTCCCAGGAACTCTGCACAGAGATCTCACCCATAGCGCCCCCAAGGGATAGAAGAATCAGCAAATCCATGACTGGTATTACATAGATGGGTAATGCTCACCTCTTCAACTGGCCAGGAAAACACAATGCTCTGCATCATGGCGAACAGGCTTACAATAGCATTAAAGGAGAACTATGAGGGGGGGGCGTGCTTTTCACTCACCTCATAGTTCTAGCCGACCTGTGACAATGAGACTGTCACAGGTCGGCTCAGTAGATCGGGAGGTGAGCGAACACATACCAGGTTCGCTCACCTCTCGATCCTGTCACGGCTCTCTGCCGTGACAGGGGGAGGGGCTGGATTCCCCCCTCCCCGCTCTGATCTGCCAGCGCTGACTGGCGGAACGGACGGGGGAGGGGGCGGGTACAGCTGGCTCTGCCTCTAGATAGGCAGAGCCAGCTGTCACTCACGCAGCTGGGCGGATCCCGTCATCTAAGTCGGGATCCGCTCCGGCTGCGGCGTCTCAGTATATAGGGAGCTGTAGCTCGCGGTATACTGAGCTTAGGGTAACGGGAGGACGCTAGTTTGTGTCCTCCCATTACCCTAAGGAGAACTATGGGGAAAAACACTGACCCCATACTTCTCCTTGTAACTCTACAACATTTTTTAATAATAAATCCAGATCAAACAAATATACATCGCCCAGCAAAGTGCTTCTTTCAAATTTGCCCAAGCACTTACAGTCCAAACAGCTGGCTCCAACTCTCTCAGCTTTGCTTCTTGATCTTCCTGTTCAGTACAAGATTGCAAGGGACAGGTCAGTCTCCAGCAGTTGTGCATCTACCAGCTAAGAGAAGGGAGGAAGAGAAGCGGGGAGCAGGGGCATTGCTTGCCTTGCTGTGCCCGTGTGTTTGTGGAGACACACACAGCATACTACCACCCACAAGTGTGGCTCGATATGACCCTGCAAAGGAAAGGATCCTTCTTCAAGATTAAGCTAAACACATTTCAGAGTGAACATCACACCCTATTCATGAGTTAGCCCTGGGGGAACATCGCTCCCTCTTCAGGAGTACATCCTGCAAGAACACTGCTTCTTCTTCGTGACTGACTACTGCAGGGACCTTGATCCTGCTTCAGGAGTAAAACACATTTCAGTGTGAACATCTCTCCCTGAAGAAGGGACATGCTTTTATTTTATTAAAGTGTACTTTTTATTGCGCTGTGTTATGTTGAGTTGATCTCCTTTGTTGCCTTCAGTGGATACACACCATACTCAGGCCCAGATTCCCCACAAGGCCACCGCGGGCCCGGCCTCGGGGCGGCAGGGCGCAGAGAGGCGGCAGTGCTGTCCTTGTGGGGAAGTTGAAATCTAAAAAAATTAATTGATACAAAATTATTAAACAAATAAAAATTAAAGAAATAATAAGAAATAATTAAATAAAAAGTGATAAAAAAGTTTTACAAAAATAAAGAAACAGTTAAATAAATTGAAACAAACCCCGCCCCCCTGCCATCTGGTTGCTTTTCTCCATTGATGGGAAGAGGGGGGGCGTATTGCGGAACCTGGCCTTTGGGCGGCAGGGAGAGTAAATCTGGCCCTGACCTTATTAAGCAATGCTGCCCTGGCATGGTCACACAGCAATTTAACCAGGTGAGAGACTTTTCAATGTTGTAACAGCAATTTGATGTTCATTTACTGAAGACCTCCTGGGAGAAATTCAACAATTATCCTCATTTTGTGGAAGAGTTTTGTTTAAAGGAGAACTATGGGGTTAAGTCTTTTCCCCATAGTTCTCCTTAGGGTAACGGGAGGACACCAACTAGCATCCTCCCGTCACCCTAGGCTCAGTATATAGGGAGCTACAGCTCGCGGTATACTGAGACGCCGCAGCCGGAGCGGATCCGGACAATTATGTCTGGATCCGCCCAGATGCGTGAGTGACAGCTGGCTCTGCCTATCTAGAGGCAGAGCCAGCTGTACCCGCCCCCTCCCCCGTCTGTTCCGCCAGTCAGCGCTGGTGGATCGGAGCGGGGAGGGGGGAATCCAGTCCCTCCCCTGCCATGGCAGAGAGCCATGACAGGATCGAGAGGTGAGCGAACGCCGGTATGTGTTCGCTCACCTCCCGATCTACTGAGCCGACCTGTGACAGTCTCATTGTCACAGGTTGGCTAGAACTATGAGGTGAGTGAAAAGCACCCCCCCCCCGCCCCCCTCATAGTTCTCCTTTAAGCCTTTGTTAGACTTGATACACAGCATTGTGTTTTCCTGGCTATCTCGAGGTGACAATTACACATCTATGTGATAACAGCCATGGATTTGCTGATACTCTTAGAGGGGTCCCATTATCTTTGTATTATTCAGTGTCTACACCGCTCTGTGGGGTTGATCTGGTGGTTGCCCAGGAGTTCTAACTTTGACGTTTTTATCTGTCTTGGATTCCTGCGCTCCCCCTGTTTTTTTTTTTTTCAGTGGTTTTATCTGTGTGGACTAACTTCCTGAGAAATAGCGAGACATTATCAGGTGATTTAAAGTGTATTTATAGCCCAAACGTTTGTATTTCGTTTTTGATTGACTGGGGAAGGATTAGACTCCCGGTCAAATTTTTATTGCTGTGCTCGCTAGGTAGATTCAGACTCTCCATCCATCCTCCATTAGACATATGCATTCGGGTGAACCTACAAATCAATGAAATTCAGTTGATTCGGTGGGTTCGGCCGAATCCGGACTCTTTTTTCCAGGGGTCACTTTTAATTATTATTTTAATGATATAGTCATGTTGGAAACAACTGCAAAAACAAACTTGTAGGTCCTATATGGCTTTTTCCAACAACAAAGGCCAAGGTTGGAGTTCTGATCACATGATTTGTTTAGCCATAATATCTAGCAGGTCGCATTGAGTATAACAAAAAGGCCTTGACCTTATCATGGCAGAAAGACTACGGAGCCATCTAATTTTGTGTGCATGTTTTTTTTTGTCCTCTGAATATTTGCATTAATATCTCCAAATGTCCTAAGAAACCCTTACCCACAATGATAAATGTCTAAATATTCATTACACGTTCAGACATCTGGTTTTCTGCGGTTTATACCTGGCTTCCGGCATACCTATACCACTGTATATCTTGAGTTGGTCAATGTACAAGTTGAATGTATGCTATTTTGAATATTCAGGATGTTATTTGTTCCAACCTGTATTGGGACTCTCAGAATTTGATGGACATTAGAACGGTGCAATATATAAGGGCTACTGGAAATCGAAAGTCCTCCATCACAGAATGGCTTCTTCCCACAGTCAAGGCCAATGTCAAGCTTATAGGTATAAATGAGCTTGGTTTAAGACACTTGGTTGACTACACTATACAGCAGTATGGCGGAAGCTGCAAGAAGAACAGATATGAGAAGAGGATTCAGAAATAATACACTTCTTTCCTTCTTGAGAGCAAATGTGGCACCTTCTTAATGTGTCTATTCATCATCTGCATATATACATGTGTGCTTCCAAAACATACCAAGAGACTGGTATCTATAATAATATTTTTTTTAAATAAACTCAGGAGTTAAATCTTAAAATGCATTCAAGGACCGTAACTCTGAACAACACTGTATCTTATTTGTGTATCATTCGGCTGTAGATCCTCTGACACTGCATGACACCGTCCTTCCTTCTGGAGGGGGGTTACTTTTGTTCCCCATGGTCCCTGTGTGTGTCGTAAAGTAGTCACCACTCCAAGCTTGGTCCTGTGATGGACTACAATCTCACGTTCAGTTTAGTCATTTGTATTGAGATTGTAGTCCATCACAGGAGTAAGCTTGGAGTGGTGACCAGGAAGCGTCTGTCCTTCTGTCTGTGTTTTGACAGTGGGCGGATAGCAAGCGGTTAAAAAATGGGGAAATGACAAAAGGTTTCCCTTAATATTCCAACCAGACCCTTATCCAGACATGCAGCCTGGCTGGCCAAGAATGGAAGAGCATGGAGCTCCCTACTCCCAGGCCACATGCTTTTCAACATGGCTTTGCCACCCCGTCTTGAAAGGAGGTACCTTGCAAGAGTGGATGGCAAAGTCTCCTCCTCTTGCTAAGCCCCCTTGTCCCAATGTTGAGGGACAAGAGCTTTTTGCCCATCTCTATAACCCCATCAGTGGAAGTTGTGGTTAAATTGGAGGAATTATGGTAGAAATGTAGATACCCCCTTTATAATAATGTGGTGAACAGATACCAGCACCTTCCCAGAGGAATGAGTAAAGGGCTAAATTAGTACCCTTTACCCATTCCCACAAAGTAAAAAAAAAAACAACAACACTGTAAAAAAAGTAATTTATTGAAATAAAACACAAACTTACCACCTTTAAAACAAAAGTTTAATAATATCCCCAGTTAAATCCATGTTGCTTACGGCATCTGGCAAGTTAACTCACGTCAATCATCACCTGTCTCTGCTGATCTGTAAGCGCCGCACACCCACTAAATGTCAGACTTCCAGTCAATGGGAACACCTTTGGGATTCCCAGGTGACATGATTGACCAAAGTACACTCAAGCATCGCAGATGTACAGTTCTAGCTATTCAGA